CGTCCTGGTATAGCTAGCCTAACAGTTTGTGACTCTGAACAGTTTGGCTCGCCTGATGGAGGTATGTTTCAAAATGCTTAGTCTGTTCCTGCTTGAGGTGCCTGTGTCCCGAGTACTATAAATATTAAATTGGATTCTGGTGTATATGTCAGACCCCTTTATGGTTACGGGAAACATAGAGCAAGATCATTGTATGTGGCTTCCTAGCTGGCAGTGCCGGTCTACCAAACTTACAGCTTCACAGCGGGCGGACAACTGCACATGCCATATGTCCTCAGGTCACCTCCTGTGCCGCAGTTTTTGCCGCATAGCAACACTCGTGCCGCCGAAGGTGTGTACATATCCCCCCGATCTGAATGGATTTCATTAATTTGATACCATTGGCTTGAACCTACACCAGAAATGGCCCGGACCCTCGCAAGCAGCATGGACTTGAATGGACAGGCTCCAGCATCCCAAACTCCAAAGCGGCAGTTGTACCCGACCCGGCCTAACCTGAATCTCAACAGTCCGACAGTGCGCAGGAACCCTAGCAACACCCAACCAATCCTGCTCAGGCCTTTACTTGCTGGCGGTCCTGCTGGTTCTTCTACTGGCGATAGGCATGCCTATTTACTGAACATTCTGCTCGCCATCGCAAAAAAACCAGCCTCTCAAGATGACGACTCCCTGATAGGTGCTATCACACTAATGGCAACGGATGCGGCATCCTTTCGTAAGCTTTACAAACACAGCCCTGGCGAGTTTCAAGAGATGGTGCACTATGTGCATAAAACACTTGGGGTATGTGGTCTAAACTGCATATGCTTCTTTGTTAACACATCTCTTTATAGAAGGACACCTTTACTGGATTGATCACACGCCTGCACCAGAACATTATCTTAAAACTCAGTGCCTACCTGGAAGAGAAGGGGAATGGGGTGAATAGGCCTGAACGCGAAATAGGCGAAGCTGCATTGAAGGATTGGTGGAATGTTTGGTGCAAGTTGGCGGGCAAGCCGGTTCCAGAGGAGATTGCATGGTAGAGCTGTGGACATTCTTTGTGAATGTGGGTATCATGCATAGATGAACTGTCAAACTTGCAGTACAGTCAGGGACAGCATGAAGCCTTCTCCAAATTGCCGCTGCGGAGTGCACCCACAGAGAGCCCGACGTGCAGGACACACTCTGTTGCGCTGATGCACTTAAGTCTCCCGTAATGGCCACTAGGACGTCGGGGTCAATGGGCCAAGAGGACAAGACCCGAGAAGATCCCGAGTTCCCTACAAATGCGGGGGGCGTGAGGATGGGTCGAGCGTGCATACCACTCCTGGCCTGGGAGGAGGGAGTTGCGCAGACACTACTTGTTGGGCACGACACGACATGGGATATCAGGGTGCGTGGACTTCAGGGAGGTACTCACTGTACGCAGCAGAGCAAGGACATCAGGGACACTATCGGGGAAAGGCTCGCTGGCGCTGTCAAAGTTGCGGTGATGTGTCTAGACGTGCGTCGACGGCTAATAGCCGAGGGGAAGAGGATGTCTGAGAAAAGGGTGGTGAGGGAGAGTAGGGGCTTGAGTTCCCTAGGACGGGTGGCCGCAACTGTGTACGCTACGAGACCGCCGACCCTGTTGCGCTGCGGCCCAATATATTGTGCATTTTACTCCAGTGCACGATACCCCTACGGGTTCCATCGAACGAGGGGGAGAGGAATAGGCCGGCCACTGAGACGCGGACCTAATACCATCACAGGCACGGCACAGACGTAACTGCGCCACGAGCACAGGTGCAGACGCAGATACAAACACGGACACAAGACGGACGCGGACACAGCGGAGGACACAGTCGACAATCCTTTACGCTTGGTTGAGAGCGGAGCATAACTCACCAGTAAGCCAGATGTGACAAGATGTCCACAGACGTTGGCAGCTGGAGCGGAGGCTTAGAGGTAAAGAGGTGGGAGTTTTCTGGGAAGTCTCCTGGACCCCCTGTTGACTATGTACAGGGTCCTATCTACGCAACGGTACTCGGGCTCAACCTACTTGGCTTGCGCAATGTTGCAATCAAGGCACACTTTGGGCAGCGCACGGTGAGTACAGTCATGCTGCCGCGCTCCACGCCACTATCTCTCCTGAGCATTGTACTGCTCTGGGGCACGTCCCGTGCGGCCACATCCATTCCTCCTCCATCCCGGCGCGGGCGGCTCCAGCACGGGTCTCCAATGCGGTGCACCCCAGCTCCAGTGCGGCTTGCGGCGCAACATACCTTGGGCGCGGCAGCTTGCTGGCCTCAGAGGTGGTGGATGCTCATCAGCGGTTGCAGACATGGCCGCAAACGCAAACTTGAGCTCTGAAGGGGTAAGAGAAAGTGCATTTTCCCGGAACTTGGGGCCCGTGTATATACAGGAGGGCCAGAGCCGTAGGGGAAGGATATAAATAAAGGGTGCATCCACCGCACAGAGTGTGACAGGCACGATAATCGGGGGCCATGCTTTATGGACTGTGCCTAGGCTGTCTGGGCCACACATACTATGCGATGTGATTGGTGAGTAGGGTTCTAAGCCAAGGGGGAATCTATATATGAATTAAGGTGAATTAAGGTCGTGACACCAAATTGATGCGGCTCATTGTGTGGGCCTACCGTGTTTCTTTGTGTTACGACCTCACCCACGGGAATCTTACCGTTGGGTAGAGATAAGTGAGAACAGAAAAACCGCCGTCCTGTTGCGCGTTCAACATTGAGGAGGTGAAATGTGCGAGACAATCTATATCCTATCTGGATGCACTTACATAATATTCCCAGCTTGCGACTGCGGGTGTCTTGCGGGGAACGTTACCCTCACTGAGCTCGCCACAGTTGAACGAGCTGTCCAGTTGAACGAGCCATCCTGTGGGCTGCAGCAGCCTCGCTTGCAACATCTACTACGTGTTTTGTTACAAAGAAGTAGGCCTTACGGATCATGGGTGAATCACGCACCACAAGAAGGTGTCAAGCTACTGGGGATTGCATCCCGCAGTGCAGGCACCGCTGTGACCGGGCAACAGGCCGTTCAGGAGCCTGACGTGCAATCAATAGTCTCGCGGATGGGCTCACGTTTTGCGAGGAGCCCGCACTCTACCCTAGGGAGGTGTTACGCTCCACGGGCGACTTGCGCGCTGCAGGAATAGTCCCAGATGGTTTCGCTCTGGCTAGGGAATTACAGCGCACACTGGCACCGCGGGTGCTCTTATTTTGGACCAATTGTGAGTATACTATCTTTCGGGAGCTTTCGTTTTACCTCAATGTCTCATGGGAGGCTGATGTGTGGCATTCAGATGGGGGAAGCCCGTGCGGAGCACAGGCACAGACGTCTAGTCTGAATTAACGGATCCTGTAGGTGTAGGTACTTACAGGAAGTGTGGAAAACTCCGTGAAGCATCAGAAAGTTGGTGTGGAATTTTGGTAACAGAGGGGACCGGCCCTGCAAAATGGCTGGACTGTGTTTGCATGGACTGCTACCAAACAATCTAGTGGACTGCCAGCTCAGACTCGTCCGCGCGTGTCCGCCTAGGTCTCGCTGCCATGCCCCAGATAAGGCCTTGCAGTTTGCCTCGAGGCTTCCACAGCCGCGATACGGACCGCAGAACTGCCAAAACGCAGAACTGCCAAGATGTGGAACTGCCAAGACGCGGAACTGCGAAGGCGCGAGGCTGCAAAGTTGCATACTCGCTGATCCGCAAGGGCTCAAAACGCAAAAATGAGGGCCGGCCAACAGTGGGGAAATAACGGGCACATCATTGGGGCCCAAGTCAGGGCCTAACACCTGCGTGGAGGTAGGTGTTGGGGCAGTTGAGCTCGAGAGCGGTGCCCACACCGCGGTGGGCAGCAGGTGCAGTGCGTGCACATCAGTGCCTGCCTCCTGTTTCCGTTCTGGAGTGCACACACAGAGGGCCCGACGCGCAGGACATGCTCTGTTGTGCCCACCTCCTGCTTCCATTCTAGAGCGCACACGCAGAGATGCTCCACTGCACCCGCCTCCCGCTCCGGTTCTGGAGTGCACACACAGAAGCTGTCCCTCTATTACCATCCCTCCATCATCCTTCCTGTCTAATAGGCAAACTGAATATCTCACTCCTCGCCCTCATCCTCCGTCCACTCCTCGCCCTCATCTTCTGCCCACTCCTCGCCATCCTCATCCAGTGTCTCTGCTGGCTCTCCCCGCAGCTGTCCAAGGATTTCCTCCAGAACGTCAGCGTCGTAATTTGCTGCACAGAACGCTTTCCAGCGGGTGGCCAAGGTCGGGCTAATCTGGAAGGCCAGGCCGACTTCGAGGGTAACCTTGTCGATGTCGTCTGGACCAACGTGGCGTAGTGTTGTTCCATGCCACTGGTCTGCAAACCAGCCAACACAGGAATTTGCAGAGGAGGCGATCTTGATGCGATAACCTGGAATCATGAAGTTTCCATCTTCGCTGGGACCTCTAGGCCGTGCGAGCGTCCAGCTAAACATCCAGTGGTGGCGGCAGACTTCCTTGTGGATACGCCTGTGTTTGGTTAGTATACTGTGCTCGTAAACTGATAGTATGACCCACCTTGCATAGTTATGTGAATACAAAGCAGATGGCGGTGCACGGGCAGCAGCAGCGAAACGCAGCTCGGAGGGGACAAGCGGGTTGTCAGATGGAATCCGGATGGTATACTCGCCATCTGGTGCGAAGTCGTCGGCGCCTGGGGCCATGCGTGGTAAGGCTTCCTCCTGGAGGCGGCCTGTGTAGGCATTGATAACCTCATCTGGGAGCGAACCACAGGCAATGTTCCAGAAGAACGCTGCTAGCGAGCTCTCGCGGTGCTCGAGCGATTCGATGAAAGCAGGGTCATTGCGTTGTGCAGCACGGCACAGATTGCGAGCCCAGCCAAAACCCTGCGGATCCTTGCGGTTGCCCGATGTGAAGCCGCTATGGGCTATGTGTCCAACATCGTCCTTCTGCAAAAATACTGAATGTTGCGGTCATAATGAAAAATATGCAAAACACACCCTGACGTTCTTTTTATAAGAACAACCCATGGCCACATCCTCCGCAATGGTGTCGACAATCTTCTGGTTGGCGCAGAAGTCGCGTATCACGAAGCCGACAAGGTTTCCATCCGGGTCATAGAATAGAACACTCTCGTCGGCCTCTGCAACATAGGCGAGCTTGTCCTTGCATAAGCGGTGGACTGGCCAATGCCCCTCGCGCTTGTCGTGCAGCTTATGACTGCTACACCACGTCTTCCATTTGAAGTACGCCTTGGGACCCTCTGCCACCCAATGCTGAGGCGGCGGATAGGGAGTAGCATGCTTCTCCACTGTGACCCGCTTGCACTTCGCCAGGAACGCGCTACGCTTCTGCACGTCCGCATCG